ACTTGATAAGATTGAAGTTCTTTGGTTTTTGGCAAAAATACTTTATAATTGGATTTCATGTCCCCTACCCCTTAATTTTTTAAACTGAGCCTCGAAAATATTAAGTAATTTGCCCATGGTCACGTATCTAGAAACAGAGCTGGGATTTGCACCCAGGAGGTCTTGGCTGCAAAATTCATACTCTTAGTTACGATGCCATCATGGAATAAAAATCTCCTATGGCTCAGTGTGTTACATCTCACGATGAGATTTATACTCAGGAGATATAAGAGTGGGATGATGCTAAGTAAACAGACTTTATAGATCATTTATTAAAGTCCCTAGAATTATGCCTTACAAAATATGTGCTTATAATAGCTGCTCTGTATCGGATTTGTCCATCTTAAAATGTAGAATCCTGAGGTATGGTTCCATATCTGTTTCCTTCTTACTGTGTTCTGCCCTAATCATGCCTTTTTTCCATTCTTCCTCCACCTTTATGTTCTTCACTATAGTTTCAACTGGATGATATTTCTATTTTGCCTCTCTAGGACTGGTTCGTTGTAAACCCAACAACAACCAAAAGCTTTGAAAAGCTGATGAAGATAAAGCAGCGGCAGCAAGAAGAAGAAAAGCGGAGGCAGCAGCACAGGAGCAGAAGGTCTCTAAGAAGGCGGCAGCAGCCTGGCATTGAGCTTCCCGAGACAGAGCTGAGTCTTAGAGTAGGGAAGGATCAGAGGAGAAATGAGGAACTGGTAGTGTCAGCCTCCTGTAAGGAACCAGAGCAGGAGCCAGTGCCAGCACAGTTCCAGAAAGTAAAGCCCCCAAAGACTAATCATAAACGAGGAAGGAAATAGGCAGTCAGTGTAAAAACGCTCCTAGGAAAGCAGATGTGATGCTGTTGTCACGGGGACCTGTGCTGGGAGGACTGAGTGAAGATTCTTTCAGCTGTTTGTGTAAGGCTGTGACTTTCTCAGCTCCTTCCTCCTGTGTAAATTTCACTGTCTTCCCTTCTTACACTTTGATTCCCCCCTCCCCTTTTAGTAGGTTTTCCTACTATTCCTCCTCAAGTCCTCTTGTTTTTTTCTTATCTTCCCAAAGAGCTCCCTCTCAAGGCCAACTATAGGCTCCTCTTGCCCTGTACAAAACTAAGAAACCTCTTTGGTTGTCCTTTCCTTCCTGGGGTATAGAATGTTCTTGGAAGCTCCATTGATTTAGTAGCTGCTCCATCATCTAGCTTGTGAAACCATTCCAGATTAATTTTTTAAAACCATAACTGATTTGTCATTTTGTATTTGTGATATAACAAGTCTATAAGCTAGAACTGTTGTCATTCATATAATAAGCTTACTCTGTCTCCTTGGGAAACAAACTTTATGGATGCTGTTTGTCCTCTCAATATGGTTTTAAGATTGAAAGTAAGAAAATGCATTTAGGATGAAAAATCTAGAACTACCCTATGCTGTTTATACTGGGAAATGCTTTGTACCAAGTAGCAGTGACTAGACCCACAGACATGAAAAGCAGCCTTAGGAGTAACATGACCCAAACATTAAAATGACAGGAAAGAGAAAGTAGAAGCAGCAATAAATATTGCCCCAACTTTCCTGGAGCCTGAGGCCTCATCCATAGCTATGATCACTTGCCTTCTGAAGCTTATTTTTGCTGCTTTGGTTTTAAGAATTGAGAAATATTACATTGCCCCTGATATTTTGACAGTCTCCTAGTGCTCCTGGTAGTGCCACTAAGGGAAAACCAAGGTGCGCATTCCTTCTCCCTGGACTTTACCTCACTTGTTAGTTTATACCCCACTGTTTTCACCCATCCCCTTAGCCAACCTCTGTCTTTTTGAATTTTCTGAGAATATTGTCCTGTCCTCTTTTATATATGGAGTTCTATCCTCTTTATATCCTGAGACTTTGACACCAGATGTAGATATTTATCTGGAGCTGGAAAGAAAAATTCTTTTTCTGTACCTCATGCCTACCTGGTAATGTTTAATGGGTTATTTCTCTTTGAGGGTGACTTTGTCTGGAACATTGGTTAGAGCAGCTTTGTTGTCGTGTTTCTGGATTCTCTTCCCCGTTTTACGTAAATATTGGTCTTATATATTCTTGCCTATTTTGTGGCATACGCCACATAAAAAATGAACCCTGATACAGACAAGTACTACCTTTTCAAATTCTGAAAGGCTATTACCACTTTAACTCTCTGTGCTCCTCCAAATAGCTTTAAAATGTGGGCTTTTGTGAAGACCACTTTCAAACAAGGGAGCACCGAAACCTGAATTGGTTACTGCCAGAATAGGTAGTTTTGAAACAAGTTAAGGACATGGTATGTGCACTCTGCATTTTCATTGGCAGTGTGCATTTAAAGCCCTTTCAGTAGATGAGGGTTGTCAGGGAGGAGAAATGAAGAAGCTATGTTAATTTCTGGTGAGTAAGACCTGGGGAATGTTTGGCAATGACAAAAGAAATAAATGACTCTCAGAAAGATGTTTCCAGTGTTCTTTGACGCCGACCTGCTGCATGACTCCTTGACACTGTATGGGGGTAAGAAGATGGCTAGAGATGGGGGTGAGTTTGAAATAAATTCCACATGCAGTTGTCTCAGTAGTTCTTTAGTTAACCTGAATTTTAACCTGAATTATGCTGGTTAAAATTATATCTTTAATTTAACCTGAGTTATGCTGGTTAAAATGAGTAGTTTGAGATTAAAGTGGATTCGTATAGGAAACTTGCCCAGTCTTATCCAGGGACTCCTTGCAGGCATTCCTTTTCTTTTTCCTGACCAAGACCAGGGATCAGTAGGACTCAGTAAGACTATTCTAATCACAGTATTGAGTTTTAAAGTTTTTTTTTTTTAATTCATTAGACTAACATAAACTAAGTTTGACAGTATTATGAACTTTCATACATGGTTTGGAATGCAAATTGGTACAGTCACTTCAAAAGTGATTTGGCAATAGCTAGCAAAGTTGAAGATAGGTACCCGAAGACTTAACAGTTTATCTCCTGGGCATACACAGAGAAACTCCTCTTGTCCAGGCATACAAAGAGACACAAAAAAGAATGATTATTGCAGTACGGTTTACAAGAGAGAAATACTGAAAACATGTATCAGAGAACTACTTTCACCTCTGCAAGTTACGGGATTATAGAACAAATGACTAGACTGTATTTCCCAGTTATCCCCCTTCCCTCCACTCTCTCTAGTGAAGGAGAGCCAGCTAACTCCTTTCCCATGGAATGTGAGTGGAGTGATGAATGCCACTTGCAGGTTAGAACTTTGAGTGGGTGTACCTCCAAGCTTTCTTTACCCTTCTTCCAGCTAAATGCAGATGCTGATGGGGCCCTAGGAGATGGAAGAACACAAAATGGAAGGGATCTTGACTCCCTGAATCACCTCTTGAAGGAGAGCCACTTGCTTGCCAACCAGGAACATGTATCTGAGACTATTAAGTGAGCAAGAAATAAATGTCTGTTACTTGTGACATTATACATTCTTGGGTCTCTTTGTCAGCCTGCTCTAATACACAATAATTATCCATTATCAGAATGGATAAATTGCAATATAGTCATACAGTAGAATACAAGCTACAAAATTGAGTAGGGTTTCTTGTATCATCATGAATATGTCTCAATGTCTGGGGCCGGGCACGGTGGCTCACACCTGTCATCCTAACATTTTGGGAGGTTGAGGCTAAAGGATCGCTTGAGCTCAGGAGTTCTAGACTAACCTGGGCAATGTGGTGAAATCTCATCTCTACAAAAAATAAAAAAATTAGCTGGACATTGTGGTGTGCACCTATAGTCCCAGCTACTTGGGAGGCTAAGATGGGAGGACTGCTTAGGTCCAGGAGATCGAGATGCTGCCATGAGCTGTGATCACGCTACTGCACTCCAGCCTGTGTGACACAGTGAGACCGTCTCAAAAAATATTGAGAAAAAAAAATTCTGCACATCTCCTTAAAAGAGAACATTTTAGAAATTTACCCTTGCTTCATCTTGATTCCTCTCTCTCTTCTCATAGCAAACCCATTAGCAAGTCCTGTCTACTATCAACTACATTTTGAATCTGTTCACTCTGCTTCTGCCATTCCAATCTAAGCCATCATTACCTCTTGCCTAGACTACAATATCTTCCTAATTGGTTTCCTTCCACTTTCTTCTGGTTTGGATACACTCCACCTAACAGCTGTATTTTTTAAAATTGTAAATCAGACCTCATTCACCTGCTAAAGGCCCTCGGCCTACGCCACTGTGCTCATAACTCCTGCTAGCCTTAATAGCCTCATCTTCCTTTCCTCCACCCATGTTCTATGACCATTCCCCAACTATACTTTACACACACACCTTTCTGTTCCTTGAACCTACCAAGCTTATTGCCATCTTAAGGCATTTGCATTCACTGTTGCCTCTGCCTAGAATAGTTTCTTCCCCAGTTTTTGCAGGGGCTTCATTTCAATTGTAGGCTTCATTTTAGCAATCATAGCAGGTCTTAAATTTCACCTCAGAGGTTATTTTCCATCTAAATTCACTTTCTTAACATAACCCTGTGTAATTTTCTAAATAGCAAAGCAGACAAAATGTAGATTGAAATCTTAGTTGGCCAACTTGCTGCTCACTTAGAGGTATGGATTTCAAGGTATGAAATCAGTTATCATTCAACTTTTAATGTCTTCAAGCCTTCACTCTGGGACAGCCACAAGCAGTATACCATATCCGTTATCTGGGATGATAAGAAGTAAAAATGAACTGAGATCAGGTGGAAGTTACCCACTCCTGAATTAGATAATCAGGACACCAGTGGCAGGAGGGGAATTAACAGAAGAACTAATATGCTTCCTACTTTACAACTTTTTATCAGCTGTAGAAATATATTGTCTTAGGGTTTTTACATCCACAGAGAATAAGCCTTCAAGTTTGTCTTGGATACCATGCTTTCCTTGTTCAGTGTTTCTGTATTTTCAGCTCACAAATAGAGATTTAATTTAAAGCACTTGCATGCTAAAATCCTAATTTCTGCATTAAAACTAGTTTTTATTATTTGCACGTGTAAGACATTTAAGAGCGGTATAGAGTGATGAAGCAGAAAATGTGTTACATTGGAACAGTAATAAAATCAGTGGATAAATGTTTTTATTTAATAACATTGTTTAATAAACTACGTATTTAACAGAAAAGTTGTTAAAGCTAGAAGGTAAGGACATATTGAAGGAGAATCCTTTTTAAATCCAATTTTAAGGGAATTCACTTTACATGTAAATAAAGCTGAAAATTCAGGAAAATTATTCTGAAGTTTTTCATCACTAACAATTTCTGGGAAACAAAGTTGATCCTATTTTCCCATAGAGGACCCATATTAAAATGTGAGATTATATTCCTATACTGGGATTCAGCACTCAAATAACCAGTCCAACTTCAATGTCGCAGAACTCCCCCCAAAATACATAACTATCCTAAAAATACATAATTTAAAATATAATTTATAGTTCTACTAAATGGGAATAAACATATGGCACGCGTTAATTACAAAAGATACTGCATGTACTAGAAAGTGCACCTGTAAGAAAAATAAATGACCTAAAACTAAAGCACTTAGGATAATAAACATCATTTTACTTCTATCTTTTAGAATGCTGCTAGGGAAATGGATGACACTTTTTAAAAAGTCCAAATATTTCAACTTTTTTTGGATACATTTTCCTGAAATAAGCGGAGGCATTCAATCACCTCCATGCTACATGTGTTTCTTCAAAGAAAACATTTTCAAATGTAAGAGCTGACCTAATATATGTCTCCTTCATCTTCTCTTACCTTCTCAATTTACTTAAAGCTAAACTTGTAGGGGCTTCACATCAGATGAAAGGTCACTCTGCCTAGCACTTACTGGACTTGCTGTTATCAGAATGCTTTTTCGCTCATGAGAAAACTAGAAGGAGCTACCTGGTCACTGGCACAAACTTACAAAAATCTTATAAAAACTGCTTTTGCTAAGTCGGTCAAAAGAAATGAGGATAAACTGATACTGGTTATTTACTGAGCAAAACGCTATTCAGTCTATTTGGAATGCTATCCTTAAAGGTACTTTTTCTCTATAAAGAAATCTAATTTAGTTAGATGAAATAAATCACAACTGTTTTCACTTCCTTGGGTTGGTTTCCTTTAGCTAGTATGATGTATGGTAAATGGCTAGGTTAGGGTCATGTGTTAGGTTAACTAGAGGTTTGTGGAATATCTTATTAACGGGAGTATTTAAAGAAAAAACTAGTTAAGGGAAGCTGGTTACCAAATATCTAGTAGGACTGTTGGATAAAACCATCTAATCCTTCAACATATCATGATGGAGATGTTACAATGACAATCTGGAATCCAAAAGCCTTCCTAACCAGGTTAATGTAGCACTTAAGAGTACTTGCTCCAGTTATCTAATCAGTGTTATTTTAGGAGGAGTTACTTTGGATTAATCCTTGATTTGGTGCCTTGGGGAAGACTGGGTGTGGTCTTTGGAACATCCTGTCTATTTAGGCACTGATTATGACTTCCCTGCAGTCTCTGCCTCCCCCGGATTAAGGACTCCAGATACCACTGTTCCTGCTGCAGCTGCTGCTTCCTGTTTTCTAAGTGGCTTTGAGTAGCCGTTAGTTTCTGGGCTTGCTCAATTAGCTGCAGTAATTCCTTCCTGAACTGCTGGTTCTCTCTCTTGAGGCCACAGGAGTATTCAAAAATAGACCGCTTTGCTGCCAACTTCAAGGCCTGGGCTTTCTTATTAAGCTCTCTTCTTTTTCTCTTTCCCAGTAGCCTCCTGTCTGGCTCGCTCAGTTGTTTCTCCAGTAATCTTTTCTCCTGTAGGAGCTGGGCCTGTACTTCACGTGTCTTTGCAGCTGTCTCAGCTTGGACTTTCTTTTTCTCCTCCTGTAATGTCTGTATTTCTTTCTCCTGCTTTTCCTTTAATATAGCAATGTCCCTCATTGCCTGCAACTTCCGCTTCAAACTGGATTGGATATTTTCCTTTTGCAAGAGCGCTGTTTTAAGCACTGAAATTTGTTCTGCATATCTGGAGGCTGATTCTTGTCTTCTTCGTTCAATCTCTCCACTTTGTTGTAAATAGCTGTTCCATACCTTCTCAGGTTGCTTTGTGTACTCTTCAGTTTTGTTAGTCAGGTATTCCAGAAAGAACCTGTTTTCAGCCTGGACAAGTAACTTTTCTTTGTATAGCTCCCTGTATTCCTCCAGTAGCTGTTCCCGCTGGATTTGAGCTTGTTTTATATGCTTGTTCAGAACCGTCATTTCCGCCACTATCTTTTCTTTAAGGATTGTCTCCACCTTTGTTAGCTTCTCTGGCTTGACAAAATTATTTATTAGACTATGATACGGTGGAAGGAGCCTTCTGGGGCCCTCAGCAAACCTGAAAGAACAAATGAGACATTCCTCTCTCAGTTGATGAAACGTTAGGAAGTGCACAACTGTCCTTTATTTATACAAGAGAATATTTCTGAGCACCCAGAATGTTCCAGACATTATACAAGGTGTGGGGAATCCAGCTAGTGGTAAAGGATGACGGATTTAGCTCATCATTTACAACGTGCGTTCACCACAACCCTGGGAGGTACTATCTCAGTTTTAAAAAGAGAAAACAGGTTCGGAGAGTTTAAGTGAATTGCCCATGACTCACACCACTAGCAAGTGGCAGAGCCTGGGTATGAAAGCCAGATCTTATGACTTACTGAACACTGTTAGCAGCTACAAAGGGCCACAGAAACAGACTGGGTGGTTGCGAGTAGAAATACTTTTCTAAGCTCTTTCATCATCTTTCCTGAGTTTCTGCGAGCCCTTCAGTGAGAAGGACGCTCCCCTCCAGTACCTATTCGCACCTGGAATCCAAGCACTCATCCTGAAGGTCACGGCAACTGCGTAGTTCACCGAGGGTGATTACCAAGGAATGAGCGCTAGCATCAGGAACCTGTGCCTGCAACTCGCGGGTACAACGTGCAAGTGCGGAAAACTCCCGTAGTTTATCCGTTTGGTGCTCAAAGGGTCTCGGTGCTGCCCAGCAACCCTGGAGGCTGCACCCTGCTCCAGTCCTGGCTGGTCCAGCCCTGAACTGTTTAACCACCTCGGCTACCGAATAAACCCGAGCAGCCGGTCCTCCAGTGGCTCCGCTCCCCGCTCTCTGCGGGCTCGAAATGAGAGGCATGCGCCTCGTTTTCTTGCTGTGTGAGTCCTGCCCTCGGGACCCCATCTCTTCTCGCCTTCCCCCTGGGGACAAAAGCCCTCCCAGGCTGCAGAGATCAGCGCCCTTTCCTAGCTCCCTTCAGCCTTCCTCTCGCTTGCTCAGCGCCCCCACTTCCTCGCCACTGTCACTAGTTGGCTCACCAGCCCTGACCGATACTAAGAAGATGCCCTGGCAACTACCGCGCCCCTTCACCCGCTCCTTTCTGACGCTTTGGTTCTGTTTTCGTTCGCTGCCCAGAACATCGCGGAAGTTTCTCTAGCCAGGCGGTGTCTCTATGGTCAGGTGGGCGGGGCCAGGAGGAAGATGGCGGCGCCCCCAGCTGCAGCTGAGCCCCAGGCTTCTGGGGGTCCGCAGCACCCAGTGTGTCTGTTGGTGTTGGGAATGGCGGGATCCGGGAAAACCACCTTTGTACAGGTGACGTACACAGCGTGGGGGTAGTAGGGGAGCGCAAAAGGTTGCCTCCGACAGGCGGAAGGCCAGGGAGAAAGGGAGGGAGGTCTCCGAGGATTTGGAGGGTATCGGCGCATGGGTTTCGGTCGTTTCCCATCAACTTCAGTTCCTTCCCCGGCAAAGCCTCCTCGGGCCCTAGCCAGGTTAATTAAGGCTCTCTTCTGCGCACCTTCAGTGCATACTCGGTCAGCTTACCACGTTGTACAGGAATTGTCTTGCTGATAAAATTGCCAGTTTCTCGAAGGCAGGGGCTTACAAGTAACTTTAGAGATTAATACAGTGCTAGCACACAGGTTTTGGTGAAGATTTGCCAAAGAAATTATTTCTTGCACGCCTGTCATGTACCATTCACTGGGGATATAGCGAAAATTAGGTTGACAAGATTCATTCATGTGGCTAAATATTTAATGGAAGAGATAGAGAAAACCCACATACGAAGAATCAAAACAAGTAAACAAGTGACTATGAGTAGGGGAGGTTCTGTTAGATGGGTGATGAAGAAAGGTAGCATTTGAACTGAGAGTTGTATCTTGGAGGTGGATATAGTGGGTGGATATTTCAGGTAGAAGAAAATCTAGGTGCAAAACTCTTAAGGCATGGGTGGTAAAGGAAGTTCTCTCTTGTTCCCTCTTTGTCTCCTTCCAACCTTCTCCCCATATCTCTGCAGAGGCTCACAGGACACCTGCATGCCCAAGGCACTCCACCTTATGTGATCAACCTGGATCCAGCAGTACATGAAGTTCCCTTTCCTGCCAATATTGGTGAGTAAACCGGTAACATAACTTGTGTGAAGTGCTTTAAAGAGAGTGGAAAAGGCCGGGCGCAGTGGCTCACCCCTGTAATCCCAGCACTTTGGGAGGTTGAGGCAGGTAGATGAAGAGGTCAGGAGTTCAAGACCAGCCTGGCCAAGATGGTGAAACCCCATCTTTACTAAAAATACAAAAAATTAGCCAGGCGCGGTGGCAGATGCCTGTAATTCCCGCTACTTGGGAGGCTGAGGCAGGAGAATTGCTTGAACCCGGGTGGCAGAGGTTGTAGTGAGCTAAGAGCGCCACTGCACTCCAGCTTAGGCAATAGAGTGAGACTCTGTAAAGCCTCCAGCCTGCCAGTCTTCAGTGCCTTTTTTCATGTTTTCTAAACTATCTCCTTTCATTTCTTTTGGATTTGCTTGAGTTCCTAAACAGCTTAGGCTTTTTTTTTTTTTTTGGATAGAGTCTCTGTCACCCAGGCCAGAGTGCAGTGGCGTGATTCACAGCTCACTGCAGCCTCAACATCCCAGGCTCAAGTGATCCTCCCGCCTCAGCCTCCTGCCACCATGCTGGGCTAGTTTTGTTTTGTTTGGAGAGACAAGGCCTCTCTATGTTGCCCAGGCTGGTCTTGAACTCCTGGGCTCAAGTGATCCTCCTGCCTTGGCCTCCCAAAATGCTGGGATTACAGGTGTGAGCCACTGTGCCCAGCCTAATTCCTTTTTAAAAATCATGTCTGCATTGCCTTTGCATTGCGTTTGTCAGTAATAGGCAATTAGTAAGAAGCTTTTTTTTCCCCTTGATTTTTGCCTCCCTTTTTCTAGGCGTGTTTAACTTGTGTGAAACTTTTCACTTTGTGGAGACAAAACTCTCTACCATAACTTTAGAGCTCCTAGCCCTAACATTCTTCATGAATTACTTGACATTTATTCTTTGTAAGGAAGGAAACCAGTGTGAAAGTGGAGGTGGTAGAAGAGAATGCTGACAAGAGAAGGCTAGAAGGCCAGTTTCACTTTCCTGCTGGTAGAGAATGTGCATGTATTACATTCCAGTTAATTCTTTTCTTTCTCCTCAGATATTCGTGACACTGTAAAGTATAAAGAAGTCATGAAACAGTATCCTTTTCCATCTACTTTGGTCTTGACTCATTCCTGGCTTCGTTTCTGTGTATTTTGTGACTTGAAAGAGTGTTTTTGCCTTTTCCTTGTGAAATATACAAGCAAAAGGATGGAAGCTGATTGTGGGAGAGGTAGGTGATCAGAAATATTATTTCAGCTTGAGATTTTAGTTTTTTTACTGTCTCCCCAGATGGCAGGCTGTTGTAATTAAAGAGCAGAGAGTAGGATAGGATAACTGACAGCTACCTGGGTCCCAAAAGGTAGTATTTTGCCTTGGAGGATCATCTGTTGGTCACCACCTCTTTAGACTGGGAAACTCAGAAATGAGTGGGTTTAGTTGGATTAACTCTTAGTAAATTGCTGTGTGAAATGTGTACTCTGCTTAATTTGTTTATGAGGATCAGAGCCGGAGGTGTTATACAGGTGGCCTTCATGGCCAGTGCTAGCGAGCTGTCACTGCCTGATGTACCTGTATTACATTTTGGTCACTTTGCTTTCTTCATTTTGCCTGGCCATTCCTAAAGTCATAAATGAGTGAGCCAGACCTTGATACTGAATGTTTCCCTGTGTGGTTAAGGTTGTGTGGTAGTCACGGATTAGGTTGCCAGTATTCATTAATGGAACACTAATTTCATAATGCTGTTTGTGTGAATGATAGCCTAGGTGTGAACTTTATAATCTAATCTATAAGCGATTTCAGTCCTCAACTTGGTGTCTAGATATGGACTTGGACCCAATGGCGGCATAGTGACCTCACTCAATCTCTTTGCTACCAGATTTGATCAGGTATGTCTGTCTTTAATATATTAATATGGCTGTGTAAAAATCTGTGACTCTTAAATTCCTTAGCTTGATCACATTGATAAAGAAAAGCAGCAAACCTGAACATAAATACAAAAAATAAGTAGACATTTTGTCAGACAGAGAAGTAGACTATGAGAAGGTGATCAGTATTGTCAGACACTTCACATTTAATATTTGTGACAGCTAACAAAAATCTAAAAGACCTGGGTTATTTTCTTGACATGTTCTTTGCTTGTGGTATTACCCTGAAGCTGGGATGGGGATATTTGGGAGTGGGATGGACTAGCAGTCATGGAATGGAAAAATGACGGGGCATTTTACTTGTGATAAATATTTGTCATTCTTTAGGTTTTCTTTGTCACCTATTTCTATAAGAGTGTTTTATAATCATTGTTTTTTTCACTCTGATGTTAAGCCATGAGACAGGCTGTTAACATTTTGACAAGAGATACTACTTGACATTGACAGATCAAAGTCTTCTGCTTCTCAGGTCCTTGGATTGTGCCCCAAGGTGGTATTGGAGTGCTGCTGATGTGGCTGTGTTTCTTTAGCTCAGTCTGTTTATTCCTTGTTGTCCTAAGATTGCAAACATTCAGTAGGTGATTGAGGGATTCAGTAGGTGATAATGCCTGTGAGGTATGCCACCCTGGAGAGGGCTCTGTGATTTTGTGTTGAAATCAGAATTTGTTGTCATTAATATCTTTTTCTTTTAGGTGATGAAATTTATTGAGAAGGCCCAGAACATGTCTAAGTAAGTGATTTCAGTAACACCCATTTATTTCTCTGTAGTTGACATATTTCTAGGCTTCATGGAGGATCTGGGATACCATCAGCCTCTGAAAGGATATAGATTGAGATGAAACCATTCCTCCCATTCTTCTTCCTCTGTTCCACACTTACCCCAGCCCTAAGCAACCAGATGTTTCCCAAGAGATTTACATTCTGGTTTTGTGTCTTTCATTTTAAATGCATTGTGTTTCTATAAAAGTTTCCCCTGTGATCATTTGCAGCAACTCATGGTCTGCTGTTCCTGCCCATTAGCGTGAATATTGGTCATTGAACAAAGTCTAGGGGATTATCATGTGCAGTTTAAGGGCAATATGAGGAAGTTAGATTTGGCAGTGTGCAGAGGTTATTCCAGTCTTGGATAACCAGATGTTTATTGTCTTATATGATGGAATATCCTTCAGCATAACACAAGTGTAACACTTCTTTAATGATCTTTCTTGACATAGATATGTGTTGATTGACACACCCGGACAGATTGAAGTATTCACTTGGTCAGCTTCTGGGACAATTATCACTGAGGCCCTTGTGAGTATTCTAGGACTTGCTACTGAGAATAGCTAGAGGGGCTAGACTGGTTGAGCATTTATTTTTAATTGCCTTGGACTTTATATGGGAGGGAGTTGTAGAAGCTCTGCACACCCTGACTAAAGTTGTTTCCCCTTGTTAAGGATGGTGGAAAAAGTTTGAGGACAGGTCATGAGCCCTCTGACCAAGACTTTGATTATTTTGTGGCTTTAGGCATCCTCATTTCCAACAGTTGTCATCTATGTAATGGACACATCAAGAAGTACCAACCCAGTGACCTTCATGTCCAACATGCTCTATGCCTGCAGGTAATTGATTATTGGTGGGGACAGTGTTCCGTCAAGGTATAAGGCCTTTTTCTCTTCTTCTTCCTCTTTTTTAAATTTTTTAAAAATCTGGTTGCTTACCCCTGCATTTGTGCTCATTCAGATTTGCTCTTCAGTTGAGTGGCCATGAGTTGGGGAAGGTCAGAGGAGAAAAGAGGCACATGTGCTGTTGGCATTCTCTCTCAGTACCCTCTGATCTTCCTCCCTTGTCGTTACAAAAAGGTGATGTATGAATATGAGCTGTCTGATAGTTGTTCCTAGTTGAATAAAATCCAAGTCTAAAGATAATAAAGTCCTCTGGGCTGAGTCTGTCATCCCAACACTTGGGAGGCCAAGGTGGGAGGATCGTTTGAGCTTGGGAATTTGAGACCAGGCTGGGCAACATAGCAAGACTCTGTCTCTATAAACAAATTAAAAAAAATTAGCCAGCCTGGTGGCATGCCCCTGTAGTCCCAGCTACTTGGGAGGCTGATGTGGGAGGATTGCTTGAGCTCAGGTA